AGATTAATTGATTTGAAAATAACCAATGATTATTTTCAAATCAATTAATCTGTCTCAATTATGTTTTCGATTAAGGATATCTTTTGCAATAGCATAGCGGTCTGACCATGACAGCCAGTGGCTTTTATCCTAAGTCTCCTAACTTTTACTGAAACATATATCGAAATAACCCAGTTAAAATTCACTGAGTGCTGCTGTGTGTCTCTCCTCTTCCACGTAGCTACTTTGTACGCAGTGACTAGTGACCCCAAATAATATTATGTCCCAAAGCGACAGACCCGATGATATTTGAAGAGCTGGGACTCGAGAACAGAGGTAGAGTGAGGGGAAAAAAAATGAACTAAAACTATCTGAACACACAAACCGCTGCACCTAACCCCAGTTACTGTTGGCTAAAGTAAATCAGCGGAAAGGGGGAAAAAAAGCAAAAATTATTGGTGGGGACTGTCCCCATCATGCCAAATTTGGTGGGAAAATGTCCACACCAGTCCTTTAGAAAGTTACACCAGTGCCATGTGATTATGTGAAGTTATCAGAATCACTTAATCGTGACAAATGTTTACATACATACTGATAGGACTGTTAGCTCGTGTTAACCACTCTTCATAGTAGCTACGCTTACATGGAGATAAGTTACCGTAATAAATGGAATATTTGGGTCTGACTCAGCAGGATCAGAATAAAAATGTAATCTTAACTGCAAGTCGGTTTAACTCAAAAGATTATTAGTAAGACGAGATGATGGGTTTGGAATCTTGACGTCATTGGTTTTACAATGTGGTTCCCTCTGCTTGTGAATTTTATCCATGTATTTTTATGTGGTTGCTCTTCTTTACTGTTCATTTATAACCTTCGTCCTCATTATTCACAGCGGTGGGCAGCTTGTGACCCCATTCTCTTTCGTGTGGTATGAAAACTCTGCACAAACCAGGCTGCCCAGCCAACGCAAGATAACATCATGTCGGCTGACACCGAGCCAGATCCCAAAGTGTTTGTGAACCCTCCTCCCCCTGAGGTGACCAATCCCAACAAGCCTGGCCGACTGACCAACCAACTGCGGTACATGCAGAAAGTGGTGGTAAAAGCGCTGTGGCGGCACCAGTTCGCTTGGCCTTTCTACCAGCCAGTTGATGCAGTTGGTCTTGGACTTTCAGTATGTGGTCTTTATTTTAATTTTATCACGTTAGTGTCAGATAAGAGCCAATTAGTACTGTTTATACATTGTTTAATCAGTCTTACATAGGCAGAGCTTAGCAATATATGATTAAACACCACGTACAATAACGATTCTTTGACTCATTCTTTGTACAGGATTATCATCAGGTAATAACATCTCCCATGGATTTGGGCACCATTAAAAAACGACTGGAGAATAACTACTACCACAGTTCAAGTGAATGCCTGCAGGACTTCAACACTATGTTCACCAACTGTTACATATATAACAAGGTTAGGGGCGTTGTACTTTAAAGTGCCTAGACTGAACTGATTCTGAATCTTTTTTAAATGTGTAATAACTTACAAATTACCATTACTGGTCCTCCTGTACAGCCTACAGATGACATTGTGTTGATGGCTCTCGCTTTGGAAAAGATTTTCTTGCAAAAAGTTTCCCAGATGCCTCAGAAAGAAGAGGAGATTATTCAGCCTGCGGGGAGAGGGAGAGGCAAAAACATCACCCCTTCAGGTAATGTAGTAGCTTCTGTAGGCAGCTGATATTGGGTGGGATTGTAAAACCGTGAATTTGATCACATTTTGTCACATTGCAGTCTAACTTTAATGTCTATGTCTGGGATTTTGGATGTCAGAACAAAGTAGTAGATAACTGAATTGATACTTGCTTTTTATTTGTTCAGTTACATCTTAAACTGTGGTGGGTATTTTTGGCCCCAAGTAGAATTTAGCTCCTCCTATTGTTGAATCAACTTTGACATTTGAAATTTTTATATCAAGGATTGCTCTGATTTGTATGGAAGCGTATTGCATTCACCCCAAAAAAAAAAATCTAATAGCTTATCTCATAATTACGAGATACGGATCTCGTAATTATGAGATACTGATCTCGTAATTACAAGATCTTGTTTCGTAAATATGAGATCGTATCTATACATTTGCTTATGCTTACTTGAGCCCGTAATGTAGAATCTCTCACAAAACTGGTCTTCATGATTGCTTATTAAGAATATCTGCATCTGTTCCACTGAACAGTTCTCTGCAGGTCTAACATGATATGCGTTGGAGTTCCGCTCCTGTTTTTCATTTCATCAATAAATCCATCTATAACCCTGGGATTACTATTTGTGGAGTAAGCATGCAGCGATATGACCGTACGCGAAAATCCGTCAACGGCTCTATTAATACAGATTCTGTATGTTTTTAGTTTTTCATCAGGATTAGGATTTTGAGAAGGTATCGATGGACAGTTCTAAGTGAAACCACCAAGCAGTTTAAATGCTTTTCAGACGCATTCATTTACAACCATAAAGCAGCCTGTGCTGGTTTAATTGTTCCTGCAGGAAAAGTGTGAAGTCAGAGTGGGCTTCTACGCCTAAAAAAATTCTAAGGACTTACTTTACAATGCTGACAAATTCAAATTAATTCAGTCCACATTAAGGAAACTCGGTATTTCCCAGTGTCAAATATCTAAAAGAAAACAAAAGCAGATTAAATCTAACAACCCACTCATTGTTCACATTTCATGTAGCGTAGAGATCTGCAATGACTGTTCTTTCTGATCTCCTGAATATGACATATTATCTCATAATTATGACAACTTATCTCATAATTATGAGATAAGATCTCATACTATTGAGATCAAGATCTCATAATTATGAGATAAAGATCTTGTAATTATGAAAAAAGATCTTGTAATTACGAGATAATATCTCGTAATTATGTGATAAAAGCAGCCGGTCCAGCAGTTCTGTGTGGAGGTAGTGCGAGGCTCTCTGGGCCATTTATTAGGCTCTCTGAGTCTAATAAAGATAATACAAAGAATAAACAAGGTTAATACAGGATAAGATAAAATGAAATAGAATAGCTCCAACAGTTAGCAGAAGAAAGGTGGCTGTTTGTATTTGCTTATGCTATTTCTTCATGGTTTTGGTTAAAAAAGAAAAAAAAAGCTATAATTGTCTTTGTATTTCACAAGTCTGCAGTATTTTTGTTTGTCCACAGTTGTAGTGGGATCAAACTGGGAAAATGAGCAAAGTTTTTAAAAACGTGGCTCCGTTTTTTTTATTTTATTTTTTTTCTGCATGTAGGTAAAAGGATGAGAGGTGACAGCGTGACCAAAACAATCAGTCCTCTAAGCAGAAACTTTGAAAAAAAGGAGGAGCCACAAAAAACCGTAGAGGTGGGAGGTCTGAAGGAACAGCTGAAGTACTGCAGCGACATCTTAAAGGAATTGTTGTCGAAAAAACATTCAGCGTATGCGTGGCCGTTCTACGAGCCCGTCGACGCCAAAGCTCTGGGACTTCATGATTACCACGACATCATCAAAAACCCCATGGATCTCGGCACTGTGAAAGTAGATCTACTTGGTTGTTTTTTATTGCATATTTAATATAAAAGTAATTAAAGTCTTGGCTTACCTCATGATATTTCTGTTGTTAATTTGCAGAAAAAGATGGATGGAGGAGAATACCAGGATGAACAGCAATTTGCTGCAGATGTCCGCTTAATTTTTTCCAATTGCTACAAGTATAACCCCTCACACCACACTGTTGTGGGCATGGCCAGAAAGCTTCAGGTGTGCTGCTAAATTTTGTGCTTGTGTGATTTCTAAATAATGCTCTCCATTGATGCCTTTTTTTCCCTGCCTCATCTTCTTATGGATGCTACAGGGAGTGTTTGAGCAGAAGTTTGCAAAAATGCCAGAAGAACACATAGAGGTTATTGTTCCGGGTAGCACCATCAAGCAGATTCACAGGTCTGAGTTACGTGAGGAAACACAGGTTACTCAGGTACAAGAACAGGTGGGTTTCTGTTATGTTACTTTTTTACTCCTGTTTTTTTAGTCCTTTTTTTTATAAGGTTTTACCCAGTTTGAGTTAAGAGTAGTAAGTAACTTGCTCTCAAGAAAAGAACCGGTGGGGAAGCCCCGAGGCGCAACTGCCTTTTTAAAGGGACATAACTTCCTCATTTAACATTTCTTTTAAGTTCAGCGTGGCTTGGGGAATTAGGAAATGTTTTTGTTTTCATCAAATATGAGATGTCACAATTACTTGCAACTTATTTTATGCTCTCTCCCCCGATATACTGAGAATTTACAGTAGATCTGGGAGATTAAAGAGGTTAGAGATTAA